GTCACAACGGCTACCTCCGGTCAACCTCCCCCAACTGTCCCACACCCCTTTCACACACTTCCTGCTTTACCTCTAGCACTGCTCACACGCCACCCCCCTCGTACCACTCCGACGGCTCCAACACATCCACCCCCCTCAGCGGCAGCTGCAGTAGTAGGAGACGGAGGAGAAGGAGGAGCAAGGGACGGCGCACACATCCGTCACCCCCATACTCGCCACCCCCACACTCGCCACCCCCAAACCCTAACACAGGCAGGAGCGGGGGGCGGTGCGCGGGCAGCAGCTCGGGGGATGGCGCGCGGCTCCCCAGGGCGCCGCGACGGGGCAGCGGGGGGCCGCGCGCGGTTTGTAGGGCGTCGGGACGGGGCAACGGGGGTCGCGCGCGGCTCCTCAAGGCGTCGCGACGGGGCAGCGGGGGTCGCGCGCGGCTCCCCAGGGCGCCACGATGGGGCGGCGGCGGCGACGCGCAGGCCTGCGGGGCGACGCGACGGGCTCCCGGGGGGCGACGCGACCGTCGATGGGGGGGCGACGCGCGGGTCGACGGGGCAGAAAACCGCTGCGCGCCCCGAGCACGCGGCGGGAAGAAAAAACGTCGCGCGCCCTCAGCTCGCGGCAGGCAGGAAACATTGCGCGCCCAGGGCGTGCGATAGGCAGGACAGCAGCGGAAGCATCGGGTGGGACCACCCACAGGATCGACCCAGGAGGGTCGACCTGCTCTGATAGCATGTCTAAAATGCTAGGAGGAATGAGAAACAGGAAAGAGCGTTTTCACTAGCAGGAAGTTGAGTACATATAGCAAACCCTATTTGGGCTATACTCGCTATAGAGTACCCCACTGTAGGCTAGACAAATATCACATTCTGACACTCTTTGCCCAACTTACCTCTCGTTACTCTCGACTATCATCTAGGCTAGGGTTTCACCTAAGCCTAGGTTACTCTACTATTTCTGACATTAGAGTACATGGCAAGCTAGGTCGCTTGGTATTCCACCTTGTACTCTTATTTATATCCCTATAGCTGCATGTTTTAATCATCTCAATCATCTTATATTCACTCTGAATTGAGGTCAAGGGCCCACCACCACCATTTAAATGTGTGGGAACCTTCCTGGGGTGATCCTTGTCAAACATATGTTTATATGTTATAGTTTAGGTAGGCTTTAGTGGGGTACTTACTGTGCGGTACAACCCCTTAGGTTTCACTTTTGTACCAAAACTTCTCGATAGTTGAATCATCCCTACCAACCTACTCTAACATGGTATTAAGAGCACTTAGGTCTTAGGACCTAATTTCCTAGTGGGCCCACCGTTACCTCTCTTTTTGTTTTAGGGTTTCCCCTGCCTGTCGAGCTGCCCCACCCATCGCGCCGCCCTACTGGCCGTGCGACGCGCATTTATTTTTTCTTCGTTTTTCTCGTCACGCCGCCCTAGGGCCCGGCCGCGCCCGTCGCGTCGCCTTAGGGCCTTCGCGCCGCCCACGGGAGCCAGTCGCGCTGCCCTGCTGGCAGCGCGCGACCCCGCCTGGCCCGCCGCGCACCTGTAGGGCCCGCGAGCCGCCCTTCCCTGCCCGCCGCGCCGCCCCTTTTTGGCAGCGCGCGGCTCGGCCCCGCCCTCGCGCACCCCTACGGCCCTCGTGCCGAGCTCTGCCCGCTGTTGCGGCCCCGCCCTGCCCCAACGCCGCCCCTGGAGCAGCCGCCCCTGGCTCCTGCAGCAGCCGCCCCTGGTGCAGCCGCCCCTGGACCCTCGAGCAGCCGCCCCTGGACCCAGAGCAGCTGCCCCTGGCCCCTGCAGCAGCCGCCCCTGGTGCAGCCGCCCCTGGACCCCCGAGCAGCCGCCCCTGGACCGAGAGCAGCCGCCCCTGGCCCCTGAAGCAGCCGCCCCTGGTGCAGCCGCCCCTAGACCCTCGAGCAGCCGCCTCTGGACCCAGAGCAGCCGCCCCTGGCTCCTACAGCAGCCGCCTCTGGTGCAGCCGCCCCTGGACCCTGAGCAGCCGCCCCTGGCCCCTTCAGCAGCCGCCCCTGGTGCAGCCGCCCCTGGACCCTCAAGCAGCCGCCCCTGGACCCTCGAGCAGCCACCCCTGGACCGAGAGCAGCTGCCCCTGGCCCCTGAAGCAGCCGCCCCTGGTGCAGCCGCCCCTAGACCCTCGAGCAGCCGCCCCTGGACCTAGAGCAGCCGCCCCTGGCTCCTACAGCAGCCGCCCCTGGTGCAGCCGCCCCTGGACCCTGAGCAGCCGCCCCTGGCCCCTGCAGCAGCAGCCCCTGGTGCAGCCGCCCCTGGACCCTTGAGCAGCCGCCCCTGGACCCAGAGCAGCCGCCCCTGGACTCCGTGCAGCCGCCCCTGGACCCCGTGCAGCCGCCCGCCGAGCGCCGGCCCTGCTCGCCCGGCGAGCGCCTGCTCTTCCCGCCACTGGTGAGCACCTGCCTTGTTAGCGCACTACTTGCCTGCCTGCCGGCCTGCCTGCCTGCCTGCCTGCCTGCCTGCTGGCCTGCCTGCCTGCCTGTCGCCCTGCCTGCCTGCCCGCGCTGCTACTGCTACTGTTGCCGCTACTTCTGTTACTGCTGATAGGCTGCTGCTGCTGCTACTGCTGCGATGCAGCTCCAGCGCCGTCCGCGCGAGTCTCTCACGCCCCAGCAGCTTCGTGAGTGGTACGGTAGTTGGGGTTGTGGCGGTAGCCGTCGTGGCTGTAGCCCTGGAGCTGGTCCATTGGGAGCGTCTGGCAGTGGCCAGCCGCAGCTGCAGCGGCGTTCGCGAGAGACACTTACGTCCAGGCAGCTTCACGAGTGGTATGCTCAGAGTAGAGGGTCTTTGAGTACCGTTCGCTGCCCGTACGTAATTCGCACGGGTGATCGGATTCGTCAGGTTTGCGGGACGCTTAGTCACACACAGTCCCGCTGCTTCGCTCGTCTGAGCGACGCCTGGCGTACCGAGTTTGGCGACGAGGCTGAGCTCCCCGCCTGGTTGGAGCTGCTTGGACAGAGGGTAGATATCTTTGCTCTTGACTATGATGCTATTCTCACTGCCATGTATGCATTGCCTACTAGTGCCGATCGTGCTTGTTACCTGTGCGTACCACCTGACCCAGGTATAGAGCATGCTGCTCTAGGTGCTGGTGAGGCTACTGCTCTAGGTGCTAGTGCGTCTCCTGCTCTAGGTGCTGGTGAGGCTGCTGCTCTAGGTACTGGTGAGTCTGCTCTCTCTGGTACTGCGCCTGCTGAGGCCTTGTACACCTTCACACTTGACTCCGGTGCCTCTCGCTCATTCTTTCGCGACAGCACCACCCTCACGCCGCTCAGTCGGCCGGTTCCAGTCTCCCTGGCAGACCCCTCTGGGGGTCCAGTCCGTACGACCTCCTCCACTGTCCTCCCTTGTCCTGCTGTCCCGTCCGGCACACTGTCGGGTCTTTACCTCCCCTCGTTCTCTACGAACTTGGTGGCGGGTTCTGCGCTCCAGGACGCGGGTGTTCACCAGTTCACCCTTGCCTACGAGCGTGTGACACACTGCACGTGTGCTCAGACGGGTCGTCACGTGGCTACCTTCACTCGGCAGCCGGGGTCGGGCCTGTACACACTGACCACTGAGTCCCCTCAGGTAGCTGCGTCTGCGTCTGTGTCAGGTCAGTTGTCGGCCCCCTGCTCGTGTCGCGCCTTGTCGCACCAGACCCTCCTTTGGCACCACCGTCTTGGTCACCCCTCAGTGCAGCGCCTTCGCAGCATGCACTGCCGTGTCCTTGTCTCTGGTCTTCCCAGGGTTCTCCCTCCCCTCCCACCCTCGCCTGCTCCTCCCTGTCTTCCCTGTGTCGAGGGGCGGCAGCGCGCCGCTCCTCACTCCTCCTCGTTGCTGATAAACCTTGATAGTAAAGTAACTAAATTAGGATGTGGTATGATGTAGTAGACACTGATGTGCTTTCACATGATGTCATCTCCCCTCCCATCAGGCTGGTTGAGTAGTTGCATGCTGCCTTTCCAAAGCAGCCATCCTCCCAGTGCCTTGTCAAAACCCATCGCATGTCGCACTACATTGACTCCATTTCTCGAGCGGGTCATGTGACCAAATTCAGCACGAACATGTTCGAGCACTTGCACGGGCAGTTGGAAAAGATGATCTACCGTCGGTCCAACATGCGCAGTGTAGATGGGCAGATCATGAAGTACCATGCTAGGCGCATTCCGGATGTTGTTCCAGTGGACGATCCTACTGGCCAGGACACTGCCATGTGGCAGGTAAACCAACTTAGTGATTGAATTGCAAGGTTATACATGCATAATGTAGTATACTCACCACTGTTTGTTGACAGGCCATAGAGACTGGCACATAGACTCTTATCAAGGAGTCATACTTCCTCCTTGTGGAGTTACCAGAAGAACCCACCTTCACCAATAGATTTGCAAGGAAGTGGGCAAAGCAACACCCCGGTGCCCAAGCTGCCCTTAAGGATGCGCTAGTACGTTATGCCGGATACGTCCCCAAGATCAGAGTAAGTACTTGACTGATCATGCAATCAATCATCATGTTCCCCTAAACCAACTGATTACTACCCGCCATTGGTACCAACGGATTACTATCGCCTGATCATTTTGCGCGCACGTGGTACTTGGATGTTGCAATAGAGGTTGTCAGGTATGGTCGAAGAGAGGAGTGGTATGCAAGGCTGTTTCTGTTGTTCCGTACAAAAATACGAGGCCCCCCCAACCACCCCAAGGCTTCTCGCTCTGCCTCTCCTCCGCTCTCCACTCGCCACCCTCGCACCTGCCCAGTACAAAGCACCTCCTCACGCTCTCATTCCTCTCGTCGCTCTCAAGCTTACACTTTCTGGTCTTACTAGAACCTCTCAGCCTTCCCGGTCGCGTTCTCGTTACCTCAGCATGGCCTCAGTGTGCGAGTCGTCGTATCCGTCGTATCCTGCAGTGCTGAGCTTCTGGAAGAGCCTCGACAGGGAGACGTCGAGGGCATCACGGCGCGTACAGCCGCTGAGCGACAGCACCAACAACGCTCATCGCACTCACGCCGCCGCGGGATGCAAGCAAGACGCCACGGCGTCAGAAACTGGTGCGTGGGAATGCGCAGCGTGGGAGTCAGGCGCGTCGGAACATGCATCGTTGGAAACTGGTGCGTCAGACCCTGCGGCGTGCGACTGTGCCGCTTCGGATGCGCCGGAAACTGCTGCGCTGGACTCCGCAGCGCCGGAGTCAGCTGCGCCGCACTCTGGTGCGCCGGAATGTGCAGCACCGGGATCACCTGCCACGGAAACCGCTGCCACGGAAACCGCTGCCACGGAAACCGCTGCCACGGAAACCGCCGCCACGGAAACCGCTGCCACGGAACCCGCTGCGACGGAACCCGCTGCGACGGAACCCGCTGCGACGGAACCCGCTGCGACGGAACCCGCTGCGACGGAACCCGCTGCGACGGAACCCGCTGCCACGGAAACCGCTGCGGCGGAAACCGCTGCGACGGAAACTTCATCGTCGTCACCCCCGTCAGGTGGTGGCAGCAAAGCGGCAGCAACGCAATCAACGACGTGGGTCCCCCCGTCGCGCATTCCGAAGCCGAGCAACACGGGAGCAGCGATACGGCGCATGGAGGGAGCGACACTCATTCCCAGGCTTCGATGTGCCGTAGCACACAGGGAGGTGCGGCGAGTGGAAGGTGACGGTGCAGTGAAGGCGCCTCGCAGAACGGCGCCAAGGCCGCGCTGACTGCCACCCCAAAGCGCCCATGGCGGCCTTGACGGCCTTGACTCTCGCAACACAAAAAAGAGAGGAAAAAGAAAACAGACAGCATCACAAACTACCGGGCCTTGGTTTGGTCCAAAATAAGTCCAAACTTGGTGTTTTCTGCCAAAATCAGACAAACTTTGGTCCATTGCTTTGGACCAAGAATGGTGTGGCTGCATATATGAACTCAGCCCTAATTTGACATAAAAAAGGGACTAAATACTACATACCATTTCAACGTCAAGATGGACCAAAATCAGTCCAACATTGGACAAACCTGAGCATGCCATATACAGGGCTTTCATGCCAGGCTGGGCTAGTAAATTTGTTGCAAATGAGAATTATATTAATTTATATAAGTTAAATCCAATACATAAAAAGGTTATATAAGTTCTACACCTCATCTAGTTGTTCTACACCTAACCTACCACCATCCACCATCTACGTCAATCAAGACTACATCAAACGGCTTCCTGCCTACCGGCTACTACACCCAACAGCTTCATTCGTTGTTTGAAACTACTCTTCACCTCCTCATTTGTTACTACTCCCATCATGGCTCCTCGCAACATGGCTCCTCCCAACATGGCGCCTGTCCATCACTACTACATCCGAATGCTTCTCCGATCACAGCAAACTACATCCAGCATGTTGCAACTGTGATCTCTCGTCTTTGCTACCTCCAACCACTATGCAGCCCGTCGCTGCTACTCCCAACCACTTTGCAGCCCATCTCTGCTGCTCCCAAACACTCTGCAGCCCGTCTCTGCTACTCCCAACCACTCTGCAGCCCGTCTCTGCTACTCCCAAACACTCTGCAGCCCGTGTCTGCTACTCCCAACCACTCTGCAGCCCGTCTCTGCTACTCCCAACCACTCTGCAGCCCGTCTCTGCTACTCCCAACTGCTCTGCAGCCCTTCTCTGCTACTCCCAACCACTCTGCAGCCCTTCTCTCCTACTCCCAACCACTCTGCAGCCAGTCTCTACTACTCCCAACCACTCTGCAGCCCGTCTGCTACTCCCAACCACTCTGCAGCCCGTCTCTGCTACACTCAACCACTCTGCATCCCGTCTCTGCTATTCCCAACCACGTTGCAGCCCGTCTCTGCTACTCCCAACCTCTCTGCAGCCCGTCTCTGCTACTCCCAACCACTCTGCAGCCCGTCGCTGCTACTCCCAACCACTCTGAAGCCCGTCTCTGCTACTCCCAACCACTCTGCAGCCCACCTCTGCTACTCCCAACCACTCTGCAGCCCACCTCTGCTACTCCCAACCACTCTGCAGCCCACCTCTGCTACTCCCAACCACTCTGCAGCCCGTCGCTGCTACTCCCAACCACTCTGGAGCCCGCCTCTGCTACTCCCAACCACTCTGCAGCCCACCTCTGCTACTCCCAACCACTCTGCAGCCCACCTCTGCTACTCCCCCACACTCTGCAGCCCACCTCTGCTACTCCGAACCACTCTGCAGCCCATCTTCACTGCTTCCAACCACTCTGTAACGTGTATCTACTACTTCCAGCCACACTCCAGCCCTTCCCTACTACTTCCAACCACTCTGCAGCCCAGCTTTGCCACTTTCCAACTTCATTCTGACTCTGTAGCACGTTTTTGCTACCTCCAACCACTCTGCAGCCCATCTCTACCACTCCCAACCACTCTGAAGCCCATCTCTGCTACCAGCTACCACTCTGCAACCCATATCCACAACTTCTAACCACTCTGTAGCCCAAGGTTAATGCTTCCAACCACTCTACTATGTCCCATCATGCTCCAGCTCTTTCTACTTCCAACCACTCTCCAGTGCAACTCTACAACTTCCAGCCACCTTGCACATCCCTGCTACTTCCACACACGGTCCAAATCCCTCATGTGCCACCATTCAGGGAGGGGTTGCGCGAACTTGCTGCGCAGTCCTCGAAGCTGCCTGCTTCCGCTGGAGGGTTTTTACAAATAGGAAAGATAACATGAATTAGTACAAAAACATATCAAACAAACATATTGTTTCATATCAACATCATCCATGCATACTTACAAGGTACTCTTTCACCACCGACTCGGAATCCGAAGCGTCAATGTACACCGCATTCGGAAAAACGAAGGCGTGCATGTTCCTGTCATACGCAACTCCGAGGTCGAGCACAGCATGCTCGACCAACCTCTTGACACGAGCGCACATGACCTCATAATTTGTGCGATTCGTATCCCACTTTGTGGGAAGCTTCCCATCTGGCGCATTGTGCAGCAACGGCCACTCCACCTGACGATACAAGGGGCAAAAAAAAGGGTTCAAGCAAGCATGTGATCAAGGTGGAAAATATGATGTTGGGGTTATTGGCTAACAAGCTTCCATTAGTAAGGATGTTGGATTATGTGAATCCTACATTGCACAACCATATAACCCTAAACTAATTATGGGTAACTTTGTATACTCACAGCATACAAGATCCACGCCAACTGACGGATCTTGAACTTCTCAGTGTTGACGCCTCTCCTTGTCAGGGCTAAGCGGACACAAACTGCGAAGATCTGTGTCGAGAAAGGCACGCCGTTAAGAAAATGCCATGCTAACGTCCCCTCATCTGTTTGAATAAGGGTGAAAAGGAGAACGGAAACCATTTGAGAGAATGGCAGCATGTGAAAGAATCGCAGTATGTGAGAGAATGGCAACTAATGAAAGAGTGATAATGAGTGAGAAAAGTATGACCAAATGTGTCAACCTGTGACATGCTTGACAATATGTGAGGAGATAAAATGGCACCATGTGCAGACACCATTTCAAAGCAAGAATATGCAACACAACATAAAAAAATCCATACTCACCATCCATGTACTTATCAACTAATTCCTGATCAGAGTAGAAGATATCAGGCCGTGGCAGCTCCGGAGGTAGGTTGTTGACATAGCTTCGCGCTGCACTGCGTCCAAGAGCAGCCAGCAAATACTTCCGCAGAAAACCGTTGATGGTTGTCCGCGTCATTGACATCAGCTCCAGAAAGACCCCGCGTGTGGCAGGGTCAAGGTGCTCGAACAAGACAATCAATGACTTCAAAGCATCCGTTGGCAAAAACTGCTTGAAACCCAGCTCCATTGCCTCCCGATCCGAGGGATAAAACTGAATCTGGTCTGCTGCGTTGGTGTACATCAAGCGCGTTGCCACACGTTTGGCTAGTTCCTGTAAAAGATGGGTTTAGGGTACATAAGAGGTAATACACTAAAACATTGCATTTGTTCAAATCATGAGGGCTAAGGATGGGTTGGAGCCTAGGGTTTAGAACACCAGAGCAAACTAAGGGATGGGCAAATAAAAGGGCTAACAAAGGGGAGAAAAAGTACAAGGGTGGGGAGAAAGGGCAGTAGGGTTGGACATAGAATGCAACATAGAAAGCAGCACAGGTTTCTAAACATTACAACAGCTTAGAACAAAACACCATACACAAGATAAACAATGCAGTATCAACTTTTTCATAATACAATCCCCATGCGAATTTACACCCCATTTCCCCATGCCTCTTTACAATCCCCATGCCTCTTGTCAAGATATACTCACCCAGTAGTCTTCCGCATGCCTCATGACGATCGATTTCGCCAGCAGAACGGGACTCTCGGTGGAATCCGAGTCAGTTGACATTGCAGGGTTCACCGCAGGGACGGATCGGGCAATCACAAGTGTTCCTTGAGATGGATTTGACAATCCGCTCGATGGAATTCCTGCCACCAATTCGCGTATCGCTGCTAACTGCTCCATCACCTTGCCTTCCAGCGCAAGGAACTCTGCCTTTGACACTCCTCCACTGTTCTGACGGTTAAGACCACTAGGTCCTGCCTGATTGGCCATGATTGTTGCAGCCACTTCATGACTTTTGGTTGTCACACACAGCACCTTCCCAGGAGGTGCGGAGCCAGATAACCCTGCGAGGGTGAAAGCGGTGGACAGAACACGGGGAGGAAAGCAAAAAGGGAGCAAGTGAGGGAGTGGGAGGGGGGGGGGAGCAGCGGGTTTGGGGGTGGGCATGAGGAAGGAGAAACGGGATGGATGGTTTAGGGTTGTGGCTAGGCGGAATAAAGTGGGCAGAGGAGAAGGGGGACAGAGGGGTTGGTTGCATCAAGGAAGGGGGGGATTGAGGAAGTTTAGGAAGAGGGAGGAGTGGGCAAATGGATCAAGGATGGGCAAAAGAGGGTAGGGCATTGTTACAGAGATGTCAAATAAAGACAACAATAACAGATAATGTTGCTGAAAATTAGATCTCACCTTTCTCCTTGATGGGGTAGGTAACCTTCTCTTTGCCCTTCTTATCTTTCTTCTTGCCTTTCTCTTCATTGTTGGTCTCATCCAGCTTGCCCTTCCACTTCCTATCCTTCTCCTTTTTTGTCTTCTTGGATGAACTATGCTTCCCCTTTTTGTTGCGACCGCGTCTGCCCTTGTCATGACCCTTCCCACGCGTTGCCTTGGATTTGCCTGCGAAGTGTTAAATAGGTAATATTTAGCCGTTTGCGGTTTTCCAACATCATCAAATGCACGACACTGAAAGCTGTTCACAGCAAATGCTTTTATCCAGTGAAGGGTGAACAATGAATTAGAACACATGACATCTTACCTTTGCCTTCATCAGCTGTCTTCTCGTTTAACGCTTCCACTGCACGCATCTTGCCGTTGTTCCGTGCACGTGCCTCAGCTTCATCCTCATCTTCTTCACTCCCGTCGGTTCCATCTTCATCCTCACGATCGCTACTTTCGCTTTCCTCGTCACACTCTTCATCACACTCCTCATCACACTCCTCATCACTGTTCTCTCCTCCCTCATTTTCTGATTTGTCCTCGTCATCAGAGCCCTCCTCCTCTTCCGACTCAGAACTCTCTTCATCACTCTGTTCCATATCAACAGCCTTCTTTACTTCATCCGAGCTGACTAGTGCTCGAGAAACACCCTCACCGTCCTCCTTTTCGTCATCCCCCCCCGAGCCCGTCCCTTCGTTCAAATACTCCTTGGAAGGAAGGTTCTCAGCCACTTTAACACTGGGGCGCCTATTTCGACCCGACCTCCGAGCAGACCTTTCGGGCTCAGGCAAGGATCCCCTGCCATTCTTTTCCTGATCACCAAAAAATGATCAAAACAATGCATCATGCATTATATGGCATGAAACCGGGT